ATATAAGAAATTTAATGTAATGATAGCACCCTCCTTGATTCGCTGATGAACAATATTTATATAGTCTAAGTAAATTATTGGCTTACTGATTCGAATAAAACAGCGACATAACTATATGAGGAAGAGGGCAGAGCAGATGTGGGATGTGGTATGTGAGAGATGTGTTGTTATCTATTATGATGAAGTCAATAGATAATATCTAACATGAAGACATACCAACAGCAGCATATTTTTTGGAAACATGGAGGCAAACACCAGAAGAAATAACTGAGTTAAAAGTGGTTTCCCCTGAAGGGTAGGATTAGGTTATGGAGCAGGAAGTGGCAGGGGAATGTTATAAGCCTTTCAAAATGATTTGATTTCTTATCTATGTGTAAATATTACCTTGGTTAAATATTAAAAAAAAAAAAAGGAATATAGACTTCTAGACCCCATCCTAGACCTACTGAATGAGAGTCTCTAGGGCTGGGCACCCGGATTTTTACAAATTCCCCAGGTGATTGTGATGCACACCAACATTTGATAATTAGTGTGATGTTTATACGTAGCTATGAAAACAGAGGTAGGCAGTCCTCAGATGATTTGGAAAGGGAGTGGAAGTTCCCAAGCAATTTGTACACTGCTATGTGACCATATTTTCCAAACCAAAATCTGAGACTGTCTTGGGGACCCTCTAAGATGCAGGATCATGAGCCTGCTGTGTCTGTCCGTGAGGGTAGAGAGTGGACTTATAGGAAGATAGCTGCACTCCCTAGAGAGGAGGAGTGGGGAAGCCCCTCCAGTAGCCTTAGCTCTAGGTACTTCTGCAGCGTCTGCACCACCCTTAAAGCAAAGGCCACAGGCACTGACCTGGACACGCGGGAGGGCGAGGCTCAGCACTGCCCCTCTGTGGCCACCACTGGGGCAGGGATGGGGAGAGCAGGCAGTGTCTCAGAGGGTTTCTTCTTCTTGGCTTTTACTTAGACCTCAGGAGTAAACAACTAGTGCTACGAGTATGCGAAAAGAAAAGGCAATTAGAAACTCCAGGAAAAGTAAAAAGCTGTACAAGAAATTTAATGTAATAAGCCTGAGTCAGGAGAGAAATAGGGATGAGTGGGGGAGTCCTCTCCTTTCCACCATGCTTTCCCAGGAGGAAAGGAATCCTGGCCCTGAGCAAGGGCTTGGGTTTGCAGGAGTCCAATTCCTTCCTCCTCAGTTCCTTATGAGGTAAAAACACACTTTTCTGAAATATGTGCTTCAAATCCTAACCCTTCCCTTCCCTTTTCTCTCTCCTCTTCCTTCTCCATTCCCCTCACCACCACCCTGCCAAACCCACGGAAGTTCAAAGGATGTTGACGAATTGGGGCTGAGTATCGTGGTGGGAAAGGGAACGGGCTTACCAGCTATGCAACTTGCTCTCTGAGCCTCAGTTTCCTCATTTGTGAGCTGGGGGAACAGGATCTACTTTGCAGGGTTATTTTAAGGATTGGCTGAGATAAAGGTCTAACTTGTTAAGGGTTTTACTTCTGGTAAGTGCTCCTAAAGGGGGTTCCCTTCCCCCTGGTGGTGATAAATGTCTGTTTTCTAAGAGAACCATCCCATGACCTCTTAAAGGTGCAAGGATGATGGGCTGGCCCAGAGGCTTAGCGGTTAAGTTCACACACTCTGCTTTGGTGGCTCGGGGTTCACGGGTTCAGATCCTAGGTGCAGATCTACACACCACTCATCAAGCCATGCTGTGGCGGTGTACCATATACAAAGTAGAGGAAGATTGGCAACAGATGTTAGCTCATGGCCAATCTTCCTCACCACAAAAAAAAAAAAAAGGGCAGGGATGCAGTTTAGAGTTGGGTGGGGCCACTTCTGGTTCTCCAGGGACTGGGTGACACTAGCAAATGGTAAAAGCTAATATTTAATAAACCAGGCGCTGTTGCAAGTGCCTTATGTGAACTCAGTCATTTAATCTTTATAATAACTCTAGGAAACAAGTCCTGCTATGGTTGCTATTTTATAGACGAGAAAACTGAGGCTCCGAGAGGGGAAGGGACTTGCTCAAGGAGACACAAGCAGTCAGTGGCAGAGCTTGGACTCAAGCCCAGGCAGCCGGGCTCCAGAGCTCCTGCTCGTGGCCGCTGTCCTGCATCTGTCACCCCCAGAGCCTGCAGCCGTGCTCACCTGTGCTGCTGAGGCTCTGCTGGCAGGACTGCCCGAGCCCCAGGGGAAACCTGCACCGGATGAACTTGTCGTCCCCCTTCTCCCAGATGGACAGGACAGCCTGCTCCTGCTGTCCCTCCTGCCACCCCCAGTGCTGCCCCTGCTGAAGTGAATGCAGAACAGCCCTCCTGGTGGTCCTGGTGCGGTGGCTTTGCCACTCTCTGGTCCCCTCACACCCGCTGCCGCCTGGCCCTATCTGCCGCTGAATGAGGTGTGCGGCGGCGGGTTGAGCATCGCCGCCGCCCAGCCTCGTTATGGAAACCCCCCCACCCCAGCTCTGCCATCTGGCATCCTTACAGTCTCCTCTCACGTCCCCCGCGAACCTGGGTGCACTCCAATGCGTGGCGTCCATGTGAGTGCCTGTGGCCTGAGGAGGCCACATGAGAAAGGACAGAGCTGGGACTTGTTCTCTCAACAGTGTCTGCCCTTCAGTCCTCCCCAGGGTGTAGACGTGCAGGAAGGTGTTTTGTTTTTTTTTTAAATTGTGATGAAATATATATAACAGAAAATTTATCATCTTAACCATTTTTAAGTGCATAATTAAGTACATTCGCATTGTGCAACCAATCTCTAGGACTCTTTTTATCTTTCAAAACTGAAACTCTGTCCCCATTAGCAATAACTCCTCATTCCCCCCACCCCAGCCCCTGGCAACCACCATTCTACTTTCTGTCTCTATGAATTTGATCACTCCAGGTATAAGCGGAATTTGTGTTTTTGTGACTGGCTTATTTCACTTAGCATAACGTCCTCAAGGTTCATCCATGTTGCAGCGTGTGTCAGAATTTCATTCCTTTTAAAGGCTGAATAATATCCCATTGTGCGGATGTACCACTTTTTGTCGATCCATTCATCTGTCGACGGGCACTTGGGTTGTTTCCCCCTTTTGGCTGTCGTGTTTTTTGACTGAAGACCGGGGCAGTTGGGGTGGGTCTCTGGGTGAGACTGCCCCACCCTTGCCCTTGGCATTGAGCAAGGTCCTCAGTGTCGGATTCCAGAAACAGGTAATAGCGAGGCCTACCTGGCCTGTTCCCTGCCCAGCCCTTTCGGTGAGAGGGGTTGCTGAGGACGACTTCCTGCTCTAAGGACACTGAGAGACTTGAGGTACAGGCGGGCTGCCTCAGGGCCCAAGTGCTGTGCAGAATAGGGGAGAGTGGCATGCACCCCACACGGGTGCAGAATTCAGCACCATCCTGGGGCCTCAAAAGCTGGCAGGCAGAGCCCGTGGCACCCTCGCTCCTGTCCTTGCCAAAGGGGGGCACTGCAGGGGTGGTGACAGTGCCCCCTTTTGCAGAGGACAGTGGTGAAGCAGTGAGGCAGGAGAGTAGCAGAGGATTCCACGTGGCATTTGAAACACACAGAGTCTTGATTACATGTTAGACACCTCCTGAAGACCCCCAGCTATAATCGAGAATCTACCAGCCTGGGCCGGTAGGAGAACAAGGCAGTGCCGCTGGGTTAAGATCACTCCCTCTGTACTTTCCTGCCGGCGAAGCCCAAGGTGCTGTGCTACGTGCTGCCAGTAGTCGTGAGCCCAGTGCATTTGTTGTGGTTGGCCGCCCAGTCCCTTGGGATGAGGAGCTACCGTGTTTTATCACTAGATGGCACCCATCCAATGGATGGGGAAGTTGTGTGTGGCCCCAACTCCGTCCTGCTAGAAGAAGGATACTTTAAGAAAAAGTTCATAGAGATTAGATAGAATATTCTTACCAAACAGGCATTTTCTTTACCAGCATGCAACTTGGAAGATAATCTTTAACGTGCAGTCCCAGAATAGCTTTATAGCTGTATCAAAAGGCTCAGAGCCCATCACTTGGGCAATTTTCTCTCTCTCTGTAGCTTCATCCCACTCTCTGCTGTCCCAAAGAGATGACCACGTTGATTCCAGACAGCAGATCATTATAAGAGTTCATTTTGGGGGATTTTGTTCATTATGAACATTTTACTGCTAAGGTTTAAAATCTTGGCACGTGGGGTTTTTAAGATTTCCAAGGATTTCTATTAAGTGATGCTCTCTTGCTCATCCCCAACTGTTTAGAATACCCTCAGTTAGATAAGTTAACCAAGATGAGCTCCTACGGTTCAACTTGAATGGAAAAGAAAACCTAAATGAAAACATGTTCTTATCTCTTGCTGACCCGCGTTTCATTCGATCAGGATATCTTCCACCTGGGCCTCCAGTTCGGGAGGCTAGGAAGACTCGGAAGGGGTCCTGGGAGCTGGACAGGGAAAGACGGGTTGAGAAGGGCCAAGCAGAGCCTTTCAGAGGCTCAGTGATGAGTCTACTAGAGAAAACGAACTCATCTAGAAAGTTAGGGTGAGATATGGCGCCTAACTGAGTCGCTGTGGTCAGGTGACTCTGGTCAGAAGACTTGGGGATCCTGGCTCCGCCATTTACTTGCTGTGTGGCCTTGGGCAAGCAACCTAAGCTCTCTGAACCTCAGTTTCTCAGCTGCAAGTGAAGAAATAATCATACCCTCACAGGGTTATTGTGAAGATGAATGAAATAGGACATTGAGTGAAAAGATTTTATAAATGCAAATTGTGGTGAAAACGTACAAATACGTTAGTTAGCAGGTGATGGATCATGAGTTCCATAAAAAGATCTGCCAGGAGGGCTGAGGGACGTGTGTTCACAAGAAGTGGACGATCAGGAGGAGGGTTGACCTTTTAGCATGTTGTTTTATTATTGTGTAGCCAGAACTCGAGTCACTGATTGGGTTTTTGCTTCAGGCCCTGGGTCAGGAGCGGCTCTCCCCTGGGCCGGGCAACCATCTGTCTTGAGGTCTTGGCATAAACAGGGCCCAGAGGAGGCCCTGCCTGTGTGGCTCGCTCACCCCAGCCAGGACAAGCTTAGTGCCTTAGTAAGAAATGTCCCTCCTCACGAAGAGGCCCACCTCAGAGCTGGCTCGAGGCCCATCCTTTCCTGCCAGCTGTTCCTAGGCGGCTTGAACCCAAGCCTGTTCCACCCCGGCCTCGTGCGTGGAGCGGGGCCTCAGGGGTGGAACCCACTGACGGCCTTGCTTTTTCTCCTCTGCAGCCTCCGCTGAGGAAGTCCCAGGGAGCACAGCTGACTTGGGGAAGGTCTGGGAAAAACCTCCCTGCTTTTGGGGGGGCGGGGCGGAGGATGAGCCACTGCTGACGAGCAACTTGGGAGATTCGGTGGATCGCTCTAGACTGGTTCAGATGCTCGCGGTGCGGCGTGGAGAGGATTTGTGCAAACACTTCCTCGCTGTGCAGAGAGGAATGCAAGAGGAGGCCGCCTGTGGTACATCTTGGACTGTTAGAGAAATGTGCCCGCGCTTGTGAACGTGCAGAGACGATGAGGCCAGAGCCGAGCAGGGCAGGGCCTGGGAGAAGGAGAGTGGGGCCCCTGCCTGGAGTCCATGTGCTGCCCTTGGGCATCGCTCCTGCCCAGGGCGCCACACCACCCCCCTCCCACAGGAAGTGCTCTCTCCTGGCCGCTGCAAGGCCCTTCCTCGCCCTGCTGCTGCTGGCTTCCATCAAGCAAGTAAGAGCAGTTTTTATTATTATTATTGTTTTATTATTATCAGTTGGACATATTTTCTGATTATAGCAGCAATTTAGACCTTTTGTAGGCCATTTGGAAAATATAAAAGAGTATTAAGACAATAATGATCAACCATAATCCTAGCATTCAGAGGTAATCACTGGTACTATTTTGGCATATTTCCCTCAAATCCTTTTTCTATGCATTTTTTTCACAGCTGAAATTATGATGCATGAAACATTTTGTATCCTGGTTTTCCCCTTTACATCATATTGTAAGCATTTTCCCACGTCAGTGTGAACTCTGCAAATAGCGTTTAAAATTGCTGCATACATCCTCCTGCCCGCTCTTGTCCTTCTCTCAGCTTTGAGTATTTAGGTTGAATGAGTAGTACTTTCCCTTCCCTTTCCTTTCCTTTCCTTTCCTTTCCTTTCCTTTC